ATTGTTGTATCATGGTAAGACAAAGTTTAGCTTCCTCAAACTGTCAAACTGCTTCCAAAGTGGCTGCAGCATTTTGCATCCTGCCAGCAACGAATGAGAGTTCCTGTTGCTCCACCATCCTTGTAGGCAACTGGTGTTGTAAAGGTTATTTTGGATTTTAGTGTGTATGTAGTGGTATCTCATTGATGTTTGCATTTTTTTTTTCCTAATGTTAAATGATGTTGAGCATCTTCTCATATGCTTATTTGCTCCTTGTGCATCTTCTTTAGTGAGGTACCTGTTCAGATATTTTGTCTATTAAAATTTTTGTTTGTAATTGTTGAGTTTTCAGAGGCTTTTTTACATGTGTATTTTGGATACAAGTCCTTTACCTGATGTGTGATTTATAAATATTTTCTCCCAGTAGGTAACTTCTCATTCTCTCAACAGTGCTATTCACAGAGCAGAGTTTTTAAATTCAATAAAGTCCAGTTTATTACACTCGATTAGATTTGGGGGGGGAATTATGCTTTTGGTGTTGTATCTAGAAACTCATCACCAAACCCAAGGTGGTATAGATTTCCTCCCAATTTTTTTCTTCTAGAAAATTCTGGAAAACATCCAGCCCTACCCTGGTGCTCTGTTAAGACTGTGTTGATCTGAGTCCTCCATGAGAATAGGCTCCCCCTCCCTTAAATAATCCACAGAAATATGACCGTGAACACCTTAGAATGGATCCTGATTGTTAGGGGCTGAATTTGTCCCCTCGAGTCCATTGGTTGAACTTCTAGCCCCCGGAACCTCAAAATGGGACTGTATCTCCTTTCAAGGAGTGATGGAGTAAAAATGAGACTGTTAGGACGGGGCCTAATCCAATATGGTTGCTTCCCCTACGAGAAGAGGAAATTTGGACACAAAGAGACACCAAGGGATGTGCATTCACTTGAGAAAGACTGTGTGAGGACACAGTGAGAAGGTAGCCATCTACAAGCCTCAGGAGAACCCAACCCAACCCTGCCAACACCTTGATCCCAGACTTCCCACCTCCGGAACAGGGAGAAAATACATTTCTATTGTTTGAGCTACCCAGTCTGTGGTATTTTATTATGGTAGCCCTAGAAAACTAATGCACTGGCACAGTGAAATTTTATGAGTATGGCTAAAAGATTCTTTCATTCAGGATGTGTTGAGAGCTGGGTAAGTGGCCTTGGCCAAGGAGAGCCAGGGAGGGCAGAAAGGGATTGACTGAGAAAACCCAGACATAAGTTTAAAACTGGCTGGTGTCCTTTCTCCGTGCCAAGTCCTCCTGACATATCCAGCCATTCTGGACGGAGTGGAAAGAGTCCAAGCTGGGCATCAATATCTTGCAGTCATGTCATGTCCTACTACCCAAAGCCTCTGAGTATATCTGCATGGTGCCCTCAGGTGACAAAGGCAAGGGGGTAGGTGACAGCCTGCTGGAGGGATGGAGGGGTTGGTCCAGATGATTGTCCATACCCATGACAGGAGAACTGAAGTTGACCAATGACATAATGGCATTTTGAGGGCATTTTGATGACTGCCATGGGGCCAGGTTATGGCTTTCATCAGCAACTTGGATAGTGTATTAGTTAAGGTGATTAATGCTAGCTGCCGTAACAAACACTCTCCAATCTCAGTGGCTTCACACTGTAAAATTTCATTTATCAGCTACATCACAGTCCAGCACGGGTTGGATGGCTCTCCTGGGTTGGGGTGAGGGCTTCCTCCAGGAAAAGAGACAGGGTTCTTGATCCATGTCTTGCCCTGACATCTTAAACACGCGGTCGCTTCTCCAGAAGTCCCTGCAGAAGGGGAGGAGATTGCCAGAGGATTGTGCAAGAATATTTTAAAGGCCCGGTCCAGAAGTGACCTACATTTCGTCTGCTCACTTTTTCAATACCCAGAACGAACCTCAAAGGAGCCTGAGATGTATAGTCCTCCCCTGTACCCAGGAAAAGGAGGTACTGTGGCAAGCACCTGATGTTGTCTCTACCACAGATAAGGACACGAATTTTCCTACCAGGCCAGCAAATGTCGGGACGCTGGGGAAGACGGTGGGTGGAGACTCAGCCCCCCCAGTCAGGGATGTTGGTTGTGACAGTCATTTCAATCTAGCAGGACAGGAGGACAGTTGGCTTAGCAACAAACAGGGCAAGAGTTGGGGGTTTTCTTGACCATGGGTCTGGTGTGAATTAAGGAGGGGGCTTGGTGGGATTACTCTTCGAAGGGGAGGGTGGCGTGAAGAGCAGCTTTTGGGACAGTAAATCCCACGGCCACGCCATGGGGAGTGTTAGCAGTACAATGGTGATGAAACAGCCACCATGTCCAGATCCAGACAGGCCTGACTCTCTGCTCAGCACAGGTCTTGGGACTGAAGTTGCAATGCAGAGCTGGTCTGTGAGCCACGTGCTAGCGGGAGCCCCTCCCAGCACCCTGCTTCCACGACAGAAGTGAGATCAGCCCTTGGAGCACCTCATCTTTCTTATGCTCATTTCCCTTTTGTACTGTTTTCCCTCTGGTCACATTAAAGTTATTTTATCTTGTTTTGTGTGTAAACCAGCTCCAGTCCTGCCTGGAATACAACAGGGAGATGTAAATAAATGGGGTGGCAAATAGTTTGTGATATTGAGAAGTTGCTCTTCTCATTCCTTTTATCCACAGCTCTTCCCCCATCATCAACGTCCTTGGTGGGGGAAGGGAGTTGTGAAAGGGCAGGTGCAGGGGGCGGGGCAGAGATTGAGCCCTGAAAAAGCCACCTTTCTATTTTTCAACCTCCTATGTAGACTTCAGTCTGTCTTTTGAAAAGACAAATGTCCGAAAGTCAAACTAGTTTTCTGGTGTCAAGTTGGGGATTTTGGAAAGGAAAAAATATTATTGCAAAAGCTTATGGTTTGCACTATAAACCAGAGAGTGGGACTGCTTGCACTGGGACTAAGAGCCTCTTGCATACCCAAAGAAGGGTCTGAGCGGTGGGCAAGGAGGGGAGACTCACGAGGGAGGCTTGGAGGAGCAGACTCACTGCCCCACTGGAACCTGGCTCACTGGAACCAAGCTAAGTCCAGTTATGGGAAAACAAAGAAGGTTGCATTCAGCACAGTGTGAACTCCTCTCAGCTGCGCAAGCTCCCCTCTTGGGACCCCACCCCACTCTTGGGGAGCGCCATCAGAGTCAGGGGGATTAATGCCAGCTGCTGTGACAAACCACCTCACTGTTAGTGTGACAAACTGGGTATCCCAGACGCCTCCCCCCTGGTCCCCTTGCTTCGGACTAGTGTTCAGAACCGCTTCTGCCACCGCAGGCTCAGGGGTCCCCCTGCCCCAGGCTGCAGACTTTGTGGGCTATTGACGCTGCTAATTCTGGAGCTCCTGGTCAGTGATGCGCCATCTGTATCAGGCTCTGAAGATGAGTTGCCCTGGTGGGTTGCTGACCCAGAGGAACCATCTGGGTTCCGGAAGCTGGTGGGCCGGTTCACTGTCAGTACTGATGATAGGATGAGGGGTTCTCCAGGGACATTTCGTGGAGCCCATGGCATGCTCATTCCAGGCCCCTCCTGTTCCAGCCTCCCTGAAGAGATTAGCAAACACTTCCTCTATTTGGCTTCCCTGGTGGCCCTCTTTCCTCATTCTCAAGGTGGGTTGGCCACCCTAACTTGGTCTTCTTTGCCAGCTCCTCCTTTGCTTCGGGCCCGTGATATTGGAGAGCCTCTGCCTCTCCTCTCTTTACACCTTTTTGCTCATCCTAAGGAACTGCATCCGTTCTGGGTGACCTTGCAGCACTAGGGACTGCAGCTTTTGTGGCTAAAATTTCCTCCCCCTTCCTTTGAATATATATTTCCTTGACTCTACACCAGGAGCAGCTGCCAGGAAGGAATTTTATTAATAGATTTGCCTTTCTTCTGGAAACGAAGGACACCCACCACACACTCCTGCCATGTACTAAGCAGCTCGTGTTTTCACAGTGGCACTTTTCATTCATTCTGGGCTTCATCTAGTTTGGGGGGGGCACTTTTGACATATTCCTATCATTCCAGATACAACAACTTATTAGATGCCCACGTACTGAGTGCCTACCCAGCATCCATATGCCTTTCTAGGATTACCAGGTCTGCATCTGGAATCTTCCTCTCCCCTGAGCAGCAGCTCCTCGTTCAGGAGAAACTGATCCCCCTCGAAGCTTTGGCAGGACAGCCTCACTTAACTCACTAAATGGTGCATTCTGTTCCCCTGGCCCTGTCATTGGTTCAGGAGGGAGCCCGTGACTCAGGTCGGACAGAGTGAATTTCAGCACTCCTACTGGGAATGCCAGGGCAAACCTCCCCATTCCCCTCTCATTGGAAGTGATCGTGGAAGCATGAAGCCCCAGGGGTGGCTGGCAGCCATCCCACCACCAGGAGGAAAGCTAGTCTGGGGAACGAGGCTGATACTTGGGTGGCAGAGTGAGGAACAAAAAGAACCTTTGTCTTTGATGATGCCATGGAGCTGCTGATTCAAACCATTTCTGAAGCCTGCCCCATCTCTGAACATGACAGTGGCAGAGGCCAGGAAGTCTCCTTTGTCATTTGATCCAGTTTGAGGTGGGCTTACTATTACTTGCAACATAGAGAACTTTGATACCTCAAACCTCTTGTGCCAGAAATACTTCCCCCTTTGTTCTTCTGTATGGATCCTATTTGTTAACTATAATACTAGTGGCCAAAATTGATCCAATGCGTTTTACATGCCTGCCTTATCTCATTTAATCTTCATGACAACGCTTTGAGGTAGATTCTGTTATGTGATGAGGAAATTGAGGCTCAGAGAGGTTAAGTAACTAGCCTAAAACCACACGGCTAGAAGAGACGGATCCTGGACTGAAATTCAGGAAGCCTGATTCCTGAGAGCTCATACTCTTAACCCCTACACGACTTCCCATCTAATATTCTCATTCTGAATTTCCTCCTGGAATGACACTCATGTCTGTGCTTCAGAGAGTCCAGTATCAGTCCCAATTCACTTAGTGTCCAGAGTGACTCTGGGACACTAACTGATGTAGGCAGGCTGGATCCGAGGACCCAGAGGGGGTCCCAAAGGACCAGCCAAGAGAGTCCTTGGCTTTGTGCAGGATAGAAATCAAATGCAAGCCAGGAGGAAGTGAGAGCAGAGTTTATTGAAGTTACAGAGAGAGCAGATACAGACAGAGCGTCTTGGACACTTGGAATGGAAAAGGAACATGAGTCTCATCATTACTTGCAGCCTGGGGTTTTTACCAAGCATGGTGGTCTGGCATATGTGTCCTCTCAGGCATCCAGGAACAGGTCAAAACAAGGAGGAGTGCTCCGGTGTCCTCTATAAGTCACTTGTGCCCTGGAGCTAGGGGTCTTGGTGTCAAGGGGTCTGCAGTCAGCAGTCTTGGAAAATGTACAGAATGACCTCACCCGGTCACTTCATAGGTGTTATCTGTTGTGCTGGAAGACTCCAAAGGAATAAATTAACTCCTTGACCTTTATAAGAAGGACATATATCATCGGTACTATAAGCCATGTGTAGGACAGGAGTGCAGCTCCTAGCAAGAATAGGAGCAGGAAAAGGAGCAAAAAAGCAGTTTTTTTCCAGTTTCCCTGCCTCATTACCACGAAGTGCCATTCATTTCTTCCCCACAGCTCTGAGAAAGCATTCACAATATTGTCCCTTGTCCTTCTCTACCCTCTTTCTGTGTGGCTTACAAATAAACAAGTGGAGCACAGATTGTATACTTTATATGGAGGGGCCATCCTCCATCAGCCCACCTGTAATTTCTTGCTTGTCTGCCTTTTCTCCAGGTTCTCAGGTGGCTTCTCTTTTCTGAAAATGTCTCAGTGGTTGTCCTGAGACAATTCAGCCCCAACTCAATGTCCAGGGCTGGATGCTCCTTTTGCTCAGCACTGCTAGCTGAGGGATGGCCAGATTCCAATTGTGAGACTAATTCTTGGTCTCAACCAAGACAGAAAACTAGAATCTCAATTGAGAGGCATTAAGATGGTGGCTGAAGATGGGATCTCCAGATTTAGCAAATAAAAATACAAGACACCCAGTTAAATTTGAATTTTAGATAAACAAGAGATAATTTTTGAGTATATGTATGTTTATCCCCTCATTCGAGAGATACCACAACCGATGGTGAATTGCAGTATTGGTGACCGGAGTAACAGAGCATTTGGGTGAGGAGAGCTGAGCAGAGTACCAGGTCAAGACCAGCTCAGAAGTGATCAGGAACTGGAGGTTCTGCCCTGACAACCCCCTTTAACCTGGTAGCTGAACACAGTTGCTTTAAGGCGCAGTAATCAAGGCAGTAAAGGCCAAGTGGAAATTCCAAAGTATAAGCTACATTGTGCCCCAAGCTGGCCAATGGTGCAATGCACAGCCCCAGGGGCTGGCCGGAGGACTCCGTGTCTTGGTGATGTCCAGGATATCGATTTCCTCTGGGTAGATTTCATCCTTTTCCTTGCATTCATGCAACATATTTTTATTGAGCATCTATTATGAGCTAGGCACTAAAATAGTTGCTACTGATACAACAGTAAGCAAATACAGACCTGATCCTTGCCTTCCAACAAAAATACTTGTGTTACGGGGTGCCTGGGTGGCTCAGTCAGTTAGGCGACCACCTTCGGCCCAGGTCATGATCCTGGAGTCCTGGGATCGAGTCCCGCATCGGGCTCCCTGCTCGGCAGGGAGTCTGCTTCTCCCTCTGACCCTCCCCCCTCTCATGCTCTATCTCATTCTCTCTCTCAAATAAATAAATAAAAATCTTTAAAATAAAAATAAATAAATAAATAAACTTGTGTTCTTCTTGGGGCACCTGGGCGGCTGAGTCATTAAGCGTCTGCCTTCGGCTCAGGTCATGATCCCAGGGTCCTGGGATTGAGCCCCGCATCGGGCTCCCTGCTCAGCGGGAGGCCTGCTTCTCCCTCTCCCACTCCCCCTGCTTGTGTTCCCTCTCTTGCTCTCTGTCAAATAAATAAGTAAAATCTTAAAAAAAAAAAAAATAACTGTTCTTCTTTCTTCCTCCATTGTAAAACTCCTCCTGACCAATAAATCACGGATTGTAAACAAGCCTCCTGGGCTGTTTGTTGCAAGGGAAGCTATGAAGTTCTGTATCCCATTTCCTTATAGAGCCTCAGTCATTCCCTTGGGGACAGGAGATCATGGTATAAAAGGTGGTTGATCCTGTCAACCGATCTTGCAGCAGGTAAAAAGCTGATAGGACAGGTCCAGTTTCAGGGGCTGACGGGAGGGTTTAGGGACGCTACGAGTTTCACAGGAGATATCATCCTTCCTATCACTTTTGAATTCAGTGTTTGATCTTAGGCTCAAGTAGGGTTTTCTTCTATGCTATTTATAAAATGTAAGTGTCAAGGTTCATGCTTGGAGGTTTTGAAGAACAGAGGGGAGGAGTAAAATGCCAGAAACACATGAATTTCAGGAACTGACAAACCACCAAGCGATTTATCCTGAGAAAGTAATTCAACTGAAAAAAAAACCTAAAAGCTCTGAATATGTTACTTGCAAAACTATCTATAGTACTAAAAAGTAGGAAATCATACAAATGTCCAACAGTAATATTGAGTTCATTATATTGCATCCCTGGATAATGGTTAAAACTAAATAGAGGAAAAGCACTTATGACAAACTAAAAGGAGCAAAACTCAAAAATTGTCTAGATGCTACGATTATATCTATGTAAACCATTTAAATGAATACATAAAATTCATGTTTTTATATGTTTATAGAAATGCACAGTAATAAAGTAGCACTTAAGATAGCAAAATATAGCCTTTTCCTTTGCTGTTATTTATATATTTCTATAAAGTGTAAAAGGAGTTTAAAAAGAAAAACATAAGGTGGGGGAAGAAGAGCTGAGTGACTACGTATTTCCGTTAGGATTAGGATATTTTAAGTTGCAAGTTACAGAAGATGTAACTCCACATGGTTTTTTTTTTTTTTTAAGATTTTATTTATTTATTTGAGAGAGAGAGAATGAGAGACAGAGAGCATGAGAGGGAGGAGGGTCAGAGGGAGAAGCAGACTCCCTGCCGAGCAGGGAGCCCGATGCGGGACTCGATCCTGGGACTCCAGGATCATGACCTGAGCCGAAGGCAGTCGCTTAACCGACTGAGCCACCCAGGCGCCCCAACTCCACATGGTTTTAAAAAATGAAGGGGACTGGCGTGCCTGGGTGGCTCAGTCAGTTAAGCATCCAACTCTTGATTTCAGCTCAGGTGCCTTGGCAGAGTCTGCTTGGGATTCTCTCTCCCCCTCTCCACTACCCCACCTCCTGCTCGTGCTCTCTCTAAAATAAATATAAAATCTTAAAGAAAATAAAGGGGACTTTTGGCTCACCTGTGAAGTCCAGAGGTGGTGTGAGCTTCAGGTACAGTTTGCTCAGGGCTCTGACTTCATTTCTCTGTGCCTCTCTCAGGTCTGCCCTCCCCAGTGCGTAGGCTTCATCCTTGGACTGGCTTTCCTCCTAGTCCCAAGATAAGAGAAGTGAAGTTACAGGCTTCCTCTTTAATATCTTTCTTCAATCTAGAGGAGAGGAGGCACCATTGAACGGGAATCCTAGCTTCATTCTAACTGGGTCCCTTGCATTTCAGAGGCTGGCTTTTGTTTTGAAAAATTATTGTGATAAGGAAGGACAGGATTATCCTGATTGGCTGATACCAATTAAGTCCCACCCCTAGAGCTGGGGGTAGTTCAATCCTACCCTAAGAGCACAGTAAGGAGGTGTGTGGCTTACATGTTGAGTAGGAAACCTCAGTGTCCATTGAACCATGTATGTGCACAAGAGAGTCATGACAAGCTGGGATGTGAGTTAGAAGGCAGTTGAGAATTTGATAAATACATCATGGCTACATACTTTAAGTGTCCCCCTTCCCTTTATTTTTTATTTTTTAAAAATATTTTATTTATTTATTTGAGAGAGAGAGACATAGCGAGAGCAGGACCACAAGCAGGGGGGGTGGGGGAGGGAGAAGCAGGCTTCACGCTGAGCAGGGAGCCCGATGTGGCGCTTGATCCCAGGACCCTGGGATCATGACCTGAGCCGAAGGCAGACTCCCAACGACTGAGCCACCCAGGTGCCCCCCACCTTCTGAAATGATCTCAGCCATCACAGGGAGAAATTCCAGATGAATTAAAGATAAAAGTATAAATCAACTAGAAGAAAATATTGGAGAATATATTTGTGAATTTGTGTGTATCTCTGTGTGTAATTTTGGAGTAAAGAATACCTTTTTAAGTAAGATTATTGTAAAAGCCACAAAAGAAAAGGCTGATAAATGTATTTCAGAATTTAAAATCTCTGTATGACAAAGACACCGTGAGCCAACTTAACAGATATGTAATGTATGGAAGAAAATATCTGGAATTCATGTCAGAGACAAAGGATTAATATTCAGAATGTGATAGAGAATATCTATTTCTACCTTTTAGTAATAACAACCTACCAAGTGTTAGCTGAACACGGGGCAACATAGCCAGAGGCTACATTTCCCGGCTCCCCTTTGGCCATGTGACTAAGGTCCTGCAGGTGGGATCTGAGCAGGAAAAGCTAAGTACAACCTACAAGTTCCATTTTCAAGGGTAAACAGCCTTTCTTTCCTTTCCTTCTTTCCGCTTTCTCAGCGGCTCGAAGGTGTTGACCTTGGGGCAAGGATACCATCCTAGTGTTGTGACTCCAAACTATGCACAAAGTGCCCGGGTGTGCTGCAGAGAACTCAGAGGGGAGCAGTGGGATATCTTAACAGTTTGAGGAAATGAAGCTACATCTGTGTCATACATAGCATGATAGCTTGAACTAGTTCACATTTTCAACATGAGATCACTAAATTCCTGACAGCACATCTTTGAGAGGATGTATTTAGGAAGCAATTGCCACTGGAATATCTAGGTTGAGCAAGAAATGAGAATGTTGTTTCCAATCTGATTTTAAAGTTTGATAAATTGTGCCAGGGGTGCTAAGTTGTTAGGGCATAAATATTTATGAAATTGTTTAGAGCTCCTTATTTAATAGAAGGGATTGTTTTTCTTTTGGCCGAAGAGCTGTAAAAAAATTTCTAAGACACTTAAGGGTGCCGCGTACAGAGAAAGTTTGGGAATTTGTGCCTAGTGGTGGAGAACAAGATAGGAAGAATCTGGGTCCTCATGTGATCTTGTGGATCTCCTGGAACAGAACTGCCTACTGCTGCTGGACTGCCAACTACCTCTGGACTTAGACTTCTTTCCTATCAAAGCCATCATGTTTGGGGATCTCTCTGTTACAACAGCATACAGACATGGTAGGTGTTCTGCCTATATCCCCACAGCCCACCAGAGAGGTTACCTGTACATGCTGATGGTTTCCTGACTCTGCCTGAAACGGTTCTCCGCTTGGGGCTGGGCTGGCCTCTGTGTGGGCAGGCCAGAAAGACCAGGGAGTTACTGCCCCAGAAGTGGTTGGGCGAAGACCCCTGCTGCTTTGTCTCTCAGTGGAACAATTCTGAGGCATAGTCTATGGAGCCTCTCAGAGGATCCCTGGTGGGACTGAGCCCCAAACGGCCACCTATAATCATCAACATCTGCTTTCTTGGCTTTCTACTCTTCTCTCACTTTCCCAATCCCTCACCCTGTTTCCTGGGAATATCTCCAAAAACGAACTATTTATACCAAATCCTTGTCTTGGAGTTTGCTTTTTTTGGGGGGGGGGTACCTAAACTAAGAGAAGCAGCTAGCCCGTACCTTAACAAATACATAAAATATGTAAGTAAGTACTGGAAAGCAGCAAGAAAATGGTAAACAACTCAAATAAAAACAGCAAAGGATAATTGTAAGCAACTCACAATAGAGGAAAAATAATTGGCCAATAAACACATAAGATGTTCATCACTAGGAACTGGCCAGTGGTAATTAAGTTAGCCCAGCACAGTAATTGAGAACACCAACTGAGTCTTGGTCCAGTGGTCTGAGTTTGAATCATGGCTCTAATATTTTCTAGCTCTATGTACCTAGGAAAATTATATAACTTCTCTGTGCCTCTATTTCCTCATCTATAAAAGTGGTATAATAATAATAATAATACTTCTCTCACTGAGTTCCTATAAAGATTAAATGATAAATACTTAAAATTTTTTTAAGTGCTTAGAACAGTACCTGGAACACAGGTATCACTATGTAAATGTCTGTTAAGCAAATAAATAAATAAAATGTCATTTCATCCATCAGAATGGTAAATACTAAAGGAACTGATCTATTAAATGTTGGCAAGGGTTTGGAGAGACAGACTCGCTCAGATATTTGTGGCTGAAGAGCAATTTAATAGTATTTATTAAAATTAAAATGCCTATATGTTCTTTGGCTCGGGAATTCTACGTCATGTGGCTGCCCTAGAAAAATACACCTACTTGTGTGTAATGAACCTCATTCAGGTATTTCCACTGCAGCATTGTTTGTAATAGCAAAAACTGAAATGAACTTAAATGTTGAGCAATAGAACAGTAACAATGCAAACTGGGCCCTTGGGCTAAATCTGTCCTGCAGGTATGTTCTGCTTAGTCTGAACAGTGTTTTAAAATCCTGGATTAGGGGCGCCGGGGTAGCTCAGTTGTTGTTGTTGTTGTTTTTTTAAAGATTTTATTTATTTATTTGAGACAGAGAGAATGAGAGACAGAGAGCATGAGAGGGAGGAGGGTCAGAGGGAGAAGCAGACTCCCCGCCGAGCAGGGAGCCCGATGCGGGACTCGATCCCGGGACTGCAGGATCATGACCTGAGCCGAAGGCAGTCGCTTAACCAACGGTGGCTCAGTTGTTAAGCGTCTGCCTTCGGCTCAGGTCATGATCCCAGGCTCCTGGGATCGAGCCCCGCATCGGGCTCCCTGCTCCGTGGGAAGCCTGCCTCTCCCTCTCCCACTCCCCCTGCTTGTGTTCCCTCTCTCGCTGTGTCTCTGTCAAATAAATAAAATCTTTAAAAAATAAAATAAAATTAAGAATCCTGGATTAGTTGCCAACATTACAAAAATTAGATTTACGTTATAAAAATCCAGATTTCCAAATACTCTTAAAACACTGGGATTCAAAGGGTGCCTGGGTGGCTCAGTTGGTTGAGTGTCCCTCTCTTGGTTTCAGCTCAGGTCATGATCTCGGGGCCCCGCGTCGGGTTCTATCAGCTTGAAGTATGCTTGAGATTCTCTCTCTCCCTCTGCCTCTCCCCTCACTTGCTCGCTCTTTCTCTGTCTCTAAAATAAAATCTTAAAAAAAAACACTGGAATTCAAGTTAACAATCCTGTGGTCTGCGGAAATAGCTATTTCTGCCCACAACAAGATACATCTGCTCCACATTGTCACTTTACTTACTACCTGCAGAGCCCCTGTAGGCAGTGGAATGTGGGGCCCTGGCAGATGAGCTGTGGCTCAGCTATGTAATGAAATGTCTATAATGAGGTAAAAAACAATATAGTAGATACACATGTGAAAAGATCACCAAGACTGAAAAAGAAAAAAACAAAAAAGGAAGATGGAGGACCACTATGTATGATGCCATTTCTGCAAACAACAACAAATTATATATTTGTATATATACACTAGAATGTAAACTATAAAGTTCAGGAATTTTTCTGTTTTATTGCTGTATTCCCCGTGCCTAGAATAGTGCCTGGCATACACTGGGTACTCAGTATATATTTGTTGAATATTTATGAATAAATGTATAAAAGAATTTTGGAAGGACACATAGTAAATAAGTGATTAATTTTGTCAAGGGACTGGGATTTGGGGATGGTGTCCAAGGAACTGTTTTGTATAATTTGATTTTTTTTTTTTTTTTTACAAGAACATAGTGTTGTAGTACTTGTGTACATTTAAAAACAATTAGACAACCCAGCACAAAATGCCATAGGTGATCAAACCCAGATTCAAAGTTAAGTCTCAACTGAAACCATCCGGAGAAAAATGAATGGGGATAAAAATAAAGTTCTGCATTTATGAGCCAAAAAAAAGTAACCCAAAATACTTAACCACCAGCTCAGAATTAATCAGCAGGGTGATGAGTCAGCTGGAGACACTGATGTGATCCAGCCCACTCTGGATGTGGGATGAGGTTCCATCCATAACCACAGTCCTCCCTGGCGTCCTCACAGCTTCTGATTTCAGGCTTTTGTTTTTTCAATTCTGTGTCCACGAGTTCATGAAGGCTTCGCACACCATGTACCAGAAGGCGCCCAGCTTGTAAGTTTCTTAAAAAGGAAAAAGAGAAGGAATCAAGAAGCTGGGGTAGGTCGCAAAGACAAAAAAAGAGAAGAGCTTGAAAGCCAGTTTTGGAGATCAGACTGTCCCCCTCAAAGGGAAGACAAGCCTGATAGATTTTCAGAGGCATCAAGAATAGACTGGTCTCCGCGGATTCAGAGGTGTTCGGAGCAAAGGAACACCCCACAGGGGACTTCTCAATGCTATGTTTGGAAGCAGCTCTTCTCACCCCAGGTTCAACTATCATTAAACAGCCTTCCTTCTTATCCTCCAGGTTTGGAGTCAAGCAATTGTCACTGTCCCCAGGGGCGGGATGTTCAGAGCTGTTCCGAGACAGCAGGAGCAAAGACGCTGGGACGGGTCGGACGGATCCCAACTGTGTGGTTAGCAGAGAGCAAAGCAAGTCCTGCCCATCGCGAAGACTCAGTATAGGAGCCCCAAGTGTCCCGCCATGGGCCAGCCGGGCTCCCCGCTTGGCTCGGCCCGCTTTACAACGCCCGCACTGACTTAGGACGGTCTTTTTGTAAGATTTTCCGGCAACCGTGCTGCAAGGCTCGATTTTCGTTCCCCAGACCCGACCACCCCTCTGAAGCGGCCAAGGCGCGGAGCCAGAGACACCAGCAGAGCGCGCCCACCAGCCGCGAGCCCCGCCCCCGGCTGCCGCCCGCCCTTCCGCCCTTCCGCCCGCCCTTTCCGCCGGAAGCCGGCCTGGCTGCCAGCGTCGCGTGCTATCGTCACAGGCCCGCCGGAAGTCTAAAGAAGCGCCCCGAAGGCGCCGCCTCGGAGCGGCCGGCGCTTGGCCGTCCCGGCGGTAAGGCCGCCTCCGAGGGTTTTTTTTTTGGCACCCACTGGTCCAGGGGCGTCTGTCTTCTTGTCTGAGCCGCCCTTCCACCTTGCGTGTGTGTGTGGGGGGGGGGTGGCGTCGCAGCCCCACCTCCACCCCGCCGGGTGCTCAGGCACCCACCGTATCCCCTCTGCGCCTTCTGCGCCCCGTCCCCCACCCAGGGTCCCGGCCCCCGGGGAAAGCTCCGGCGAGGCCCATCCGCCGGGACCCTCAGATGGTGTGGCCTCGGATAAGCCTTTCTGTCTGGTGGCCAGCGTGGGCACCTCAGGGATTAGTGATAGGAACTGGGACCCCAGGCTCCTGGCTTAATCTTCCCCGTTAGCTTTTCCTCCCGAAATCCTATAACCCCGTCCACCCCGCGGGATCTCAGCGTCCCCCAACTTTCAAATTATTTTTCACAATTTATACCGCCCCTGACTCCCACCCTGTTTTATTGTGTGAGTGTTTTATCGATGTCTCTGCAGCCAGGTCCAGCCTTCTAGAAGAACCATGCCTCCTGCAGCTTTGGGAGGCACCCGATGTGCCAGGCACACGCCGCTGCACGGGAGGAGATGCCGTTTGAATTCTCCGTGAATGTTGGGAGGAGGAATGCCCGAGCTGCCGGTAGAAAAGTATCCAAACGAGAAATACGTGGGCTGGGGACCCTGAATCACCTCGTGAGAATTGCTGCTCTTTGTTTCCTCTGTCTTATCTCGTGACTAGTTTGTAGTTTGGTTATCTCAGTTGGAAGTCCGGCCCGGAACCCTATCTGCCAAGGCCAGAAGTAACCGTTTCCAGTTAATACAGACCTGTGTGTTGACTCTGCTCCCCGTGGGTGATCCACGATTGTTGTGGGAGTGAGTCCCTCCCCCCCCCCCGCCCCCCCACTGCCTCTGGGGGATGCTTGTTCCAGTAGCATTGTCAGCAGATTCTTTTGGGTACATTCTGTATCAGTATCTACCGGGGTTTATATTCAAGTAAGTACAAAGATGATTTGTTGCTGGTGGGAGGGAAGATGTATGCATTTTGCGTATTTTCCGTTTTAAATTTTTGGAATTTGCAGGCAGGAGATGCCCTAAATAAATCACAGGGGTTTGATTAGGAAGCTCTTGAGGGAGAGAGAACTCAGGACCATCTGGGAGGCCTCAGCGCAAAGCAGTGTGTGCATAAGGGCTGATGAATTCTGTTTGGGGAGCTGTTTACGGAGTTGATGTCTGAGAATACGCACCATGGAACACATCCCTCAGTAGTAGTCGTCACACTCTTTCTGTTTCTTTGTAGCACCAGGATGGACTTCTTGGTTCTCTTCTTGTTCTACCTGGCTTTGGTGCTCATTGGTGTTGTTATGATATGCATCTGCTCAAAAACCCATTACCTGAAAGGCCTGGTCAGAGGGGGAGCACAGGTAATGATGCTTAGAGACCACTGGATTTTGACTACCACCAGTCTAAAAGGCTCATCAGTTCCCTGGCGGAACAAAAAAGAGATGCCGTTTTTATTATTTGTTCACTTCTTTCGTTTATGGTAGTTATGGTACATTCAGAAGTCTCTGTTTTTTGTTAATGTTGAAAGTAATGTTGTGATTTGCTTTGAGAGAAGATAACATTCTCAAGGTTGGCTATTTTTTCTTTGAATTTGATGCCTGTACTTGGGCCTGGATGAGAATATTTCACAGAAATATTTAAAGAGTGGCAATATTACATGCATTTCTATAAAAAGAGATATATCCTGATACCTCAATGTCTGCCTGGAGGGGCCTGATGGGTGGAACGGGGGGCTGTGTGACTAGGGAGCTGAGCATCAGGCTGCCCACACTCCTTCAGGGGTCAAAGTGAGCAGAATTGGGGTCAGCAGCCTTTGGGAAGGGGTGGACTTGGGAGTGACCTGGGCTAATGCCCAGTGATTGCAGATGGACTCTGGAACCTAGGATTGAACCCAAGGCAGGGAAAGGAGTGGAGTTCACATTAACATTACCTAATCCAGCCCCTCTGCTCTCCTCCCTTTCCCTGAAGACTCTGACATGGTGCTTTCTTTGCAGCTAGGGTGGAAAGGGAGGAGCTGGTATCAAAGGAAGACTAGCTGAGGGAAACCCTGCATTTTATTCTCTTAAATCTCTTCTCTGCCCGTATGCAGAAACACAAATCCCCAGGATCGCCAGCTAAAGTGAAGCATCTAATTTGTTTGGGAGTGGGGGGAATGAGAAATGACATTGAATCCTTCTCTTTTGTTTTAGATAATTTCCTATATAATTCCAGAATGCCTTCAGAGAGCAGTGCTAAAATTGCTTCATTATCTCTTCCATACACGGTATTTATATTTCAGAGTTTAAATACTATCTTCTTTTCGGGGCGTCTGGGGTGGCTCAGTCGGTTAAGTGACCAAACTCTTGGTTTCGGCTCAGGTTGTGATCTCAGGGTCATGAGATTGACTCCCAAGTCGGGCTCCTTGCCGGGCATGGGGCCTGCTTAAGATTCTCTCTCTCCCTCTTTTTCGCCCCTTCCCCTGCTCGTGCACTCTCTCTCTCCGCCCCCCTCTCTCAATAAATAAATAAAATCTTTAAAAAAATAATAAAAATATAAATATTATCTTCTGGTTTTTTTTTTTTTTAAAGATTTTATTTATTTATTTGACAGAGAGAGACACAGTGAGAGAGGGAACACAAGCAGGGGGAGTGGGAGAGGGAGAAGCAGGCTCCCCGCAGAGCAGGGAGCCCGATGCGGGACTCGATCCCAGGACCCTGGGATCATGACCTGAGCCGAAGGCAGTCGCTTAACCAACTGAGCCACCCAGGCGCCCTTCTTTTCTGTTTTGATTATTAATTGTTGCTGTCCCCTAGCTTCAGGGTGCTCCTTGTTGGTTTCCAGCCATAGTTCGGGGAAGGAGGCTGGAAAGGATCAAGAGTCCTGGGTTCAGGACCTCTGCTCATAAATAATCTGCCTTTTATTTCTGGAGTTTTCACAGAAATATTTAAAGAGTGGCAATATTACATGCATTTCTATAAAAAGAGATATATCCTGATACCTCAATCCCCAAAAAAGATAATAGGGGCACCTGGGTGGCTCATTCGGTTGAGCCATTCAGCTCTTGATTTCGGTTCAGGTCATGATCTTGGGGTTGTGGGATTGAACCCCACTTTGAGCTCCTGGCTCAGCGTGGAGTCTGCTTGAGATTCTCTCTCTCCCTCTACCCCTCCCCCTGCTCTTACGCGCTTGTGCTCTCTCTCGGAATAATTAAAATCCTAAAAAATAAAGTTAATAATAATAGATAATATCTATTGAGTACTGAGTATTTCGAGGCACTGTGAGAACTGTCTCATATTGTCTCTTACGTAATTCTTGCTATTATCTCAAGCCCAAAGGAAGTGGTTGGCCCTGGGTTAACTTTAGTATGACATGATTTCTTCTTAGAGAAGGCCTTGTGAACAAGCCACGTGCCTTTTTCCTTTCAGAAACCACACCTTCATTCTCCTGCATCTCATCTTGCAAGGGATGGTTTACAGTGAATACACCTGGGAAATATTTGACTACTGTCAAGAGCTGGAGTTCTCCTTGCATTACCTTCTTCTGCCCTATCTGCTGCTGATTGTAAACCTCGTGTTTTTCATTCTCAGCTGTGTGAGCAACCCTGGTAAGTTGAGGCTCTTAGTATGGAGACTGGCAACAACTCAACTGTCCGTCTTACAGTGTTACAGACTAGTGATCCCCCTGGGGACTTTGTGAAAGATGTGATATGCGGTGTTACCATCTTCTCATTGTGATTGTCTTCTAATTTTATTTTTTTCTTCTTTGACCCATGGCTTATTTAAAACTGCTTAAAATTTTCTATATACTTTTTTAGTTTATTTTTTGATGCGTTCACTAATTGTGTTATATAGAGAGTTTGTGGTCTCTATGGCACTGTTTCTTTCAAAAATTTTATTGATATTTGCATCATGCCCGGTTATGTGTTGTTTTTTAAGTGATCTGTGTGGGCTTGGAAGTATATATTTTTTAGTTCTTGGGTGTAGACAGCATGTGAGTCCATTAAATTAAGTTTGTTAATTATGTTCAAATCTTTTATATTCACCCTAATTTTTTTGTTTACAATAACTGAGAGAGGTATGTTATCTCATTCTGATGATAGATTTGAGGTTTCTCCTTATAGTCAGTTTTGGCTTTACTTATTTTGAAGCTATTTTATATGTGTATGTATGTGTAGGTGTATATAATAGTTATGTATATATTTGTATTATATGCATTCAAGTTTAGAATTGGTATTCTCTTTTCCTTGAATCTTTTTCAAAATATAATGAGCCTCTTTGTCACTAGTAATGCTCTTTGCTCTCAATTCTCTTTTGTCTGATGTTAATATTATTACACTTTTTTTTTTAAGAGGGAGAGAGGGTTGGGGAAGAAGTGGAAAGGGTGAGGGAGAGGGAGAGAGAGGATCTTAAGCAGGTTCAGTGCCCGGCACAGAGCTGAACGCAAGGCTCGATCTCACAGCCCTGAGACCATGACCTGAGCTGGTATCAGGAGTCGGATGCTTAACCGACTGAGCCACCCAGGTGCCCGTTACCCTTTTTTTGATTCATGTTTGCTTGGTATTTTTTTTCCGTGCCTTTACTTTTAAGCTTTTCTATCCTTGAAGCACCAGCTGCCCATCAACTGACGAATGGGTGAATGTGATGTGCCTCTTCAACGGAACAGTATTTGGCAACAGGAAGGAACGAAGGCGTGATATGGGCTAGAACAGAGAGGAACCCTGAAAAACTATGCTAAGTGAAAGAAGGCAGATACAAAAGACCACAAGTTGTATGATTCCATTTATAAGAAATATCCAAACAAGGCACATGCATGGAGACAGAAAATAGATTAATGATTGCCAAGGGCTGGGATTCGAGAGAAATGGGGGGTGACTGCTAAGGGTTTCTTTCTGAAGTGATAAAAATGTTCTAAAATTGATTGTAGTGATGGTTGCCTAACTCTGTGAATGTACTAAAAACTATTGAATTGTGCACTTTAAATGGGTGAATTGGGCTTATGAATTGTATCTCAGTAAAGCTGTTTATTTTTAAATGAGTTGTTTAGAATATTAAACATGGCAAGTTTTAGTTGCACTTTTTCAGGACAGATTTTGTGAACGGTCAGTCCACCGGATTGCTTGAACCGACATTTGTCCTTATGTTTTTCAGGTACCATAACAAAAGCAAACGAGTTATTGTTTCTTCAAGTTTATGAATTCGATGAAGTGATGTTCTCAAAGAATATGAAGTGCTCGACTTGCAATTTAAGGAAACCGGCGCGATCCAAGCACTGCAGTAAGTTTGGCTTTGGTGCCTCCAGCTCTGTCCTTGTATGGCAGACATGTGGGCCTTGTAGTAAGGGAATGTTACAGAAATCCAGAAGCAGGGTCATTTGTCTCCCAGACAGGGGGCAGCCACTGCTCGTAGAGGCCAGAGAGCTCTTTTTTTTTTTTTTTTTTTTTTTATTAGAGAGAGAGAGAAGGAGTTGGGGGGAGGGGCAGAGGGAGAGGGTGAAGCCGACTTCCCGCTGAGCAGGAAGCCCAACGCAGGACCCTGAGATCATGACCTGAGCCGAAGGCAGACGCTTAACCGACTGAACCACCCAGGCGGCCCTGGAGGTGAGGCTCTTAATGTTCTTGTATAGTGGGCAACTCAGCCCTGGGCATAACAGCCCTTCCTTTGCCACGTGGCAGGCCATGTTGCCCAACAGGAATTTCTGTGGGCTGTTGTGTTTGCAGATTTCAGTCATGGCAGAGCCTACTCTTGTGGGGAATAACCAAGATTCTAGACGAGTGCTGTCCAACAAAAATATAATGTGAGCCACATATGTGATTTAAATTTTCTAGTAGCCACATTACAAAAGTAAAATGAAGGAACATTAAATTTAATGATATATTTTATTTAACCTAACATATCTAAAAGATTTTAATGTGTAGTCAATATAAAAAATCATTCATGGGTAGTTTATATTCTCTTTTTCTTACTAAGTCTTTGAAATCTGGGATATATTTTCCATTTACAGCACATCTCAGTTGAGACACTAAATTTTCCCTGGAAATACTTGATCTATATTTAGATTTCACAAAACTTGCAGTTGGAAGAGCAGATTCACATACCCAGGTTATTCCAGAAATTCTTAAACGTTTTTTAATAACTGAACCAGTACCAAAAATCATTGTCCTTTAATGCCCACATATGGTTCACCTTTATCAGAAGAATTGATTTGACTTTAAAGCATCAGTTTTAAAATTATGTCTGTTCAAGTATTGCTCACAATCGAACTTAAAGGAGCATTGCATAAATCGAAAAGCTACCCTGGTTTTATCGATATCAGAGTATTCTTTCAAATTTTTCTCGCAGCCACATTTCAAGGGCTTAATACCCACCTGTGGCTCGTGGCCACTTGTACTGGACCCTGCAGTTGTATGGCTCGGTGATAGCAGCTGCCATTTCTTTCAGCTCGTGCTGCCGAGAGTTTGTGAAAATCCCCACAGATGTGCTTGGTCTCATTCTTCCATCAAGGACTAAGTCAGGCTTGCGGCTTTCCCCTTTCCGTGCAGGTGTGTGTAACAGGTGTGTGCACCGCTTTGACCATCACTGTGTTTGGGTGAACAACTGTATCGGGGCCTGGAACGCCAGGTACTTCCTCCTCTACCTCTTGACATTGACGGCCTCCGCTGCCACCATGGCCGTCGTGAGCTCTGTGTTTTTGGTCCAGTTGGTGGTGGTGTCCGACTTGTATCTGGAGACTTACGTTGATGACCTTGGACACTTCCAGGTTATTGACATTGTCTTTCTTATTCAGGTAATTAACATTCAGGTAATTACGTTGTAGGGTGTATGTTTCTGACTTCAGGTTTCAAAATTGGAAGGACATTTTCCTAGTCAAAAGATGAAGCTGTTCCTTTTTCAAAAATTAACATATAATTTTTAAATTTTTAATTATTTAAGGTTTTATTTATTTGAGAGAAAGAGAGCGTGCGCATGCACACGAGCCAACCAGGCACCCCTATATATAATTTTTTTAGTTGATGTATAATACATATACCATAAAACTCATCCTTTTTAAGTTTATTTATTTATTGTTTTAGTAATCTTTGTACTCAGCATGGGACTTAAACTCATGACCCCAAGATCAAGAGTCACATGCTCTTCCTGCTAAGCCAACCAGGCGCCCCTAAAATTCATCCTTTTAAAGTGTACAGTCTAGTGTTTCAGAGTTGTTTAACCTCCACCACCATCTAATTTCAGAACACTTCATCACCCCCAAAATAAACTCTTGTCTATCAGCAGTCATTCCCCATTCCTGTCTTTCCTGGCAACCACTAATCTGCCTTCTGTCTTTTATTTTGCCTTTTCTGGGCATTTCACATAAATGGAATTGTACAATCTGTGGCCTTTTGGACTGCCTTCTTTTTCTTAGCATAATGTGTTCAAGGTTCGTCCATATGTGTTATATGTAAGAACCCATTGCCTAATACAAAGGTCATGAAGATTTACACTTATATATTCTTCTGAGTGTTTCTATAGATTTAGCTCTTACATTTAGGTCTTTGATCCCTTTTGAGTCAATTTTTGTATGTGCTGTAGGGTTGGGCTCTAACTTGATACTTTTAGTATGTGGCTATCCAGATATCCCAGCATCTTTTGTTGAAAAGACCCTTCTTTGCTCATGGAATTGTTTTGGCACCTTGCCAAAATTAATTTACAATAATGTAGAGTTCTTCTAAAAATTCATTTGATGACTAAAAGATTTCTACTGCATTTATGGGAAGTAGCTTATGAGCAGTCACTATTTTAGGTAACTGCTTACTTCTTGAGTGGTTTTTTCTTTTGGTTTCAAAGAAAATAAAATGCCATGAACAAGTGGGATGTAGTCCATAAATGCAGGGTTGGTTCAATATTAGGAAATTGGTTAATATTTTATACAACATTATTAAATAGAACATGACATGATTATTTTTCTAGATGTTGAAAAATGTTTCACAGAATTCAAGATCCATTCTAATAAAAGCACTCAGAAAATAGGAATGGAAGGACACTGTCTTAATATGATAAAATACACAGTCTTAAAGCCAGTATTTTTTTTTTAATTTATTTTGAAATAATCGCAGTTTTACAGGAGATTACAAAGAAACACACAGGAAGCCTATGTGCTCTTAAGTGCCTCCCCCTTCCAGCATCCCCATACTATCACAGCTCATGGCCAAAACCAAGCAATTGACATTGGCACAATCCCCAGAGCCAGTTCAGATTTCACCAGTTACATATGTGTTTATTTGTGGTGTGTGTGTGTGTGTATAGCTCTGTGCAGTTTGTCACGTGTGCAGCTGGGTACAAGCACCGCTACAGTCAACATGCTCCATTATCCGTTGTCAGAGACTTCCTGGTGTTACCCCTCACGGCCACAGCTTCCTACCCACATCCCTAATGCCTGGCACCCCTGTTCCCTCCTCCACCTCTGTTACTATGTTATTTCATAGTTGTTACGTAAATGGATCATAGGGTATCTTTTTGAGGTTGGTTTCTTCACTAGTGCAATTTCCTTGAGATCCATGTGAGTGGTTGCATGGGTCTAGGGTTCCTTCCTTTTTACTGCTGCATAATATTCCACATTGTTTAACCATTCACCCTTTGAAGGACCCTGCAAAAGGCTGCATTGAACATTCCCATATACAAGTTCCTGTGTGATGATCTTTCTTTACTATGATCATTGGGTTGATAATAAGTCCATTTTAGGTCTTGGAAAGGACCGCCATACTCGTTTTCCAGAGTGCTTGTACCATTCTAGATCCTCACCAGTGATGGGAGAGGTACTGGTTTCTCTGCATCCTTGTCAGCACTTAATGTTACCACTATTTTTCATTTTAGCCATTCTGATAGGTGTGTAGCGATAACCTTGTTGTTTCAACCTTGAGTAGTTTTGCTCTTAAAATTTTTTTCAATTTATGGGGCGCCTGGGTGGCTTAGTTGGTTAAGTATCCAATTCTTGATTTCTGCTCAGGTTGTGATCTCGGGGTTGTGGGACCAAGTCCCATGTTGGGCTCATAAATTGGAGACATCATGTTGCTTTGCCCCTAAATACTTGAACATGCATTTTTTAAAAAATATTTTTATTTTAAGATTTAATTTATTTATCAGAGAGACAGAGGCAGGCAGAGGGAGAAGCAGGCTCCTTGCTGAGCAAGGAACCCGATGTGGGACTCGATACCAGGACCCTGGGATCATGACCTGAGCCGAAGGCAGACGCTTAACCGACTGAGCCACCCAGGCGTCCCTTGAACATGCATTTTTAAAGAATGTCAACCTTCTCCTACATAACTGCAATTATGTTATCTCACCTAAGAAAAGTAATAATAAATCTATGTAATAAACATAAGATATGTAATAAATGCATAATAAATCATCTAGTCCATATTCAAATTTCCCCAGTTTCTTTTTTTTTTTTTCATTTTTTTCAAATGTGTCTTTTATAGCTTTTTTACCTCCTTGAACCAGAATCCACTTCATTGTTAGGCATTGCATTTGAATGTTGTCTTTTTAGTCTCTCTGTCGAAAATAATGCCCCCACTTATTTTCATGAAATTGACATTTAGTAGTTTAGTTGTCTTTTAGAATGTCCCTTGTTCTAAGTTTGCCTTTTTCCTACTTCTGTCAACTGATTTTCCTCTATTCCTTCATATTACTGTGAATTGGAAGTTAGTTCTAGAGCCCTGATTAGATTCAGGTTAACTATTTTTGTCAAGAATGCTTCCTGGGTAGGGATGTGTATTTCATGTTGCTTCCCATCATGTAGAACATAGGACCAGTGATACCCAGCTCTCTCCATGGGTAAAGTGCATTTTCCCCTTTGCAGTGTATATGGTTTTGTTTTTGTACTTAGGACTTTCTGTAGGATAGATTCCAAAAAAATATGTACTGGATCAGAGATTATTGACATTATTGCTTTTATTAGAATGGATCTTGAATTCTGTGAAACATTTTTCAACATCTAGAAAAATAATCATATCATGTTCTATTTAATAATGTTGTATAAAATATTAATCAATTTCCTAATATTGAACCAACCTTGCATTTATGGACTACATCCCACTTGTTCATGACATTTTATTTTCTTTGAAACCAAAAGAAAACACCACTCAAGAAGAAGCAACGGATAATGGAGCATGTTGATTTTAATATATATTGTCAGATTGCTTTTTAAAACTTTGTGCCTAGAGTGATTTGTCAGTGTTCCATTTTGCGTCAGAGCAGACATTGAGGATGCCCAGTGGCAGCAGGTGCTTCTAGTTTGGTAGGAAAATATGGTGTATCCTTTTTAAAAATTGTATTTCTTTCATTACTTTCTATTACTTTTCTTGTCAGTCATTTGTAGATCTTTTATGAATTATGTCCTTTAACTGTTTACCTGTTTGATACTAGAATTACTTTTGGTTTGAGATCATATAATAATGATAGTTCATTCTTATATTTGTTTTTTATTTGTGTATCTTTTTTGTATAAAAAAATTTAGACATTCTTTCTCATCAGATATCTCTTCTCTTTGTAACTTCAGTTAGAAAGTCTCCCCTGTCAAGAGATGCATCTACTTCTCTCTTACTCCTGACTTTCAAAAATAATGAACTCTTGGGGTGCCTGGGTGGCTTAGTCAGTTAAGCATCTGCCTTCAGCTCAGGTCATGATCTCAGGGTCCTGGGATCAAGCCCCACCTTGTCAGGCTCCCTGCTCAGTGGAGAGTCTGCTTCTCCTTCTCCCTGTGCCCCACCCCACTCGTGCTCTCTCTCTCTCTCTCAAGTAAATAAAGTATTTTTAAAAATACTGACCTCTTTCAAAATTCATTTTCTTTACTATAAAAAATAACATAAAAATTCAGGCAGTCCAGAAGTGTTTAAAGTGAAAAGGCGGAGAAGCAGGGCAAGTGGGCATAGGTAGTCAAAGGCACTAACTCATATTTGAAAGATGAGTAAGTCCTGGGGATGTAATGTACAGCCTGAGACTGTAGTTAACAATACTGTGTTCTGTACTTGACAGTTGCTAAGAGAGTGGGTTTTAAAAGTTCTCATCACAAAAAAACACTGTAACTATGTGTGGTGATGGATGTATTAACTAAGCTTGTTGTGATCATTTGCTGTATGTCATGTTGTACACCTTAAACTTTCACAATGTCCTGTCAATTATATCTCAGTAAAGCTGGGGGGAAGAAACATAAAATTTAAAACATCTTTAGAAAAAAATGAAAAGGGGGCGCCTGGGTGGCTCAGTCATCAAGCGTCTGCCCTTGGCTCAGGTCATGATCCTGGAGTCCCGGGATCGAGCCCCGCATCGGGATCCCTGCTAGGTGGGGAGTCTGCTTCTCCCTCTCCCACTCCCCCTGCTTGTGTTCCCTCTCTTGCTGTCTCTCTCTCTCTGTCAAATAAATAAATAAAATCTTAAAAAAACAAAAGAAAAAAACGAGAGGAAAACTGGGAGTTCTCCCCCTCCCCTCCCAACAGCTTCACTCCCCAGAGGCAACTATTTCTGTAGTTTGGTGTGTACATTTCAGGCTTCTTTCCTGTGTGTTTATATAGTCACACACCTTCATGGAGTCTTTTTGTTTTTACACAAATAAGATGCCATTGTGATTCTCGGTTCTTGTCTTTCGCATCCAGCAATATTTTATCAGTGTCTTTCCAAATCAGTACGTAGAAATTGACCTCATTTTTACCGGCTCATTATTCCAGAGTGTGACTATCCCAGGGTTTTACTCTTCCTCATGAATGGACTTTTAACGTGTTTCTTTTAGGAAGAGGGGCTGTTAAAGTCACGACAGTGAATACTCTTGTGCATGCATTTCTGTGGTCGTGTTGTGTTGAGAGAGAGACTGATCTTCTCTGTCCATCTGGACTTTATTTTGATGCATGAACTGAGATCTGTATTTATGTCTTTGTTTTACAAACAGCTAACTAGGAAAGCACCCCTCCTGAGTATCCTTTCCCTTTTCCTTCAATGTACACGTTTCATTTATCTCACTTGAAACTCTTGTACATATTCGGGTTTCCTCCTGGGCTGTTAGTCAGGGCCGTTTATGGTTTTGTTTTGTGTTTAGGCAGTCAGATGTGTATGGAGGTGGGTGAGCTGGGTGGGCAGCTCTTGCGTGTTTGTAGACCAGGCTGCGGCTGGTGGGTGCGACCCTTTCTTGTGGCCCAGCCTGGCTGCCTAACACGCTGTTTTTTCTTTACCCCCAGTACCTGTTCCTGACCTTCCCAAGGATTGTCTTCATGCTGGGCTTTGTCATCATGCTGAGCTTCCTCCTGGGGGGCTACCTGTGCTTTACTTTGTACCTGGCTGCCACCAACCAGACCACTAACGAGTGGTACAGAGGTGACCGGGCCTGGTGTCAGCATTGCCCCCACGTGGCCCGGCCGCCATCGGCAGAGCCCCGGGTCCACCGGAACATTCACTCCCATGGGCTTTGGAGCAACCTCAGGGAGATCTTCCTACCTGCCACTGCACATTATGAGAGAAAGAAGAACTAAGAATGGGAAGTGTTACTGCCACTTAAATATAGTATACGTTTATTTATACATATAGCTACTTTCTAAGCATTGGTGTGGTGTTTTTTGATTTCGGGGGTCTTCTTATCTGGCTTCTGCCTGTTTATAAATCGGCTTTCAGTGGTTAAGGAAGGGGTGCCTGATCCTGCAGCTGCCATGCTGGATCCTGTGGTAGAAATTCCCCTTGCTCAGCCTCTGTTCCCTCAGCCTATTGGAACAGAGTATATCTCAAGTCCTGGTGCCAAGGGGATCAAAGATGACTTCTCAGAGGTTCCCGCTAACCTTGGTCTCCCACTGTAGACTCTTGGCTTCTGACAGGAGGGGCCTTGACTGTGTCCCCTGATGTGCAGGAGAGTCTCAGTGAGGTGGGGTTGTGCCTGGCTGCACCCTCTTTGATGCCCTTTCCATCGCTCTCAGGGTAAGGCCTTGGCTCTTCATCTACTTAATCATGCTCAGCACCCTCACCCGGGCCCTCCTTGTAGCCGGCATGGGCCTTTTACAAGGCCCAGTCTTGTGCTTGTGGTCCTCTGCCTGCCCTGCTCTGGACTCCTGTGACCATGTTCAAGTCTTTCCTGCCCTGTTTTTAAAATGCCAAACTAACACCCGGAGTCCCCATCCTGCCACTGCCCCGTTAATTCAGTGCAAAGAGATGGATGCAGAAGAGCATCATAGAAAGCGGTGAGGGTTTTTAGGAGGGGGCAGTTTTCAGGAACAGGATACCTATGATTCCCATGGCCAGCCGCACTGGAGGGGATCGGGGAATAGGGGGACAAGAACTTGGAGGCCGGGGGTCGGGAGGCATCGTTTGTCAGTGCAGCTCCGAGTTCCAGACTAGATAACATCTTTGACGCGGCCTGCCGGCCTGCCGACCTGCGAGGCCTGAGCCACGGCCCTGCAGCACCACGCCTCTGTTACAGGTGGAGAAGCGCGGTGAAATCTATAGCCTTGGAGCGCCGCGCAAAGGAAGCAAGCGGAGCTTCGCGGCCGGCGCGCGGGCGGCTGGAGCGCACAGCCCAGCGAGCGCTCGGTGGTGGGCGTGGCAGCCCAGCTCGGCCCCAGGTCCCAGGGCGGTCGCGGGGCCCGGGGGCGGGGCCGGGGGCGGGGCGCACCTCTCCTCGCGGCCGGGCCGAGCCGCCAGGTGGCGCGCTCCCGACAGCCGGCCCTCGCCGCGGCCTGCGCTTGGCCCCTGCGGGCCGCCGTCGCCGCGCTCCGCGTTCCGCCGCCGTTCCGGTCCGCGGCGTCGGGCTCCCGCTGCCTTCGGTGGCGCCGCAGTCGCACAGCCGGGCGCCCGCTGGCCGGCGGTGGCGCGGATGGCCCCCTGAGCAGGCCAGAGCGGGAGCGGCGGGCGGGCGGGCGCCGGGGGCGGCGGGCGGAGGCCGGGTCGCGGCCTCTTTGTCTCGGCGGCGGCGGCGGGCGCGCCCGCGGGGCCCGGGGCGGAAGTGCCGACGCGCCCCGAGCGCCCCGGGCCGCAGCGGCCGCACCATGAGCGACATCCGCCACTCGCTGCTGCGCCGCGACGCGCTGAGCGCCGCCAAGGAGGTGCTGTACCACCTGGACATCTACTTCAGCAGCCAGCTGCAGAGCGCGCCGCTGCCCATCGTGGACAAGGGCCCCGTGGAGCTGCTCGAGGAGTTCGTGTTCCAGGTGCCCAAGGAGCGCGGCGCGCAGCCCAAGGTGCGGCGGCGGCCGGGATGCCCGCGTCCGCCAGGAGGAAACTCCCGCTCCTTTTCCGCCCCTCGCGGTGACAGGCGTTGGCCAACCACAGACCCCCTTGCCATCCGCGGCTCGCTTCTCGCCCTTGGCCGCGCTCCTTCGCAGCAGCCCCGGTCCACCTGCTCTGGCCTCCTGAGCATTGCTCAGCTGTGTGCCTGTGCCGGGCGCGCGACAGCCCAGGTCTCGGTGGTGCTGCCGGGAGAGACGTTGAAGGCCCGTAATCGAGTCTCACACCGCAGTAGGCCATCACCCCGAGTGCCCCAGGATGATGTCCAATTCTGATAGTGACATTTCCTGGGATTAACCGAGTTCTTCCGCCTGGGACCCGGGCTTTAGAGGGGTGAACGGTTCCTGGGGAGAAAATAGGGTATTTCCTGTTTTCTTACCGTATGGATTAATGTGCACGTTGAAGCTAAATTTCTTACCGCTTCTCTTGGATTTGTTTTACAGAGGTTGAATTCACTTCAGGAGCTCCAGCTTCTTGAAATCATGTGCAATTATTTCCAGGAGCAAACCAAGGACTCTGTCCGGCAGATTATTTTCTCATCCCTTTTCAGCCCCCAAGGGAACAAGGCTGATGACAGCCGGATGAGCTTGTTGGGAAAACTGGTGTCCATGGCAGTGGCTGTGTGTCGAATCCCAGTGTTGGAGTGTGCAGCCTCCTGGCTCCAGGTACTTCTCTGGGAATAGCCTTCTCCTGAGTCTCCGAAGGGGAGTTTAGCGTCAGGAATTTTCTCGTATTTGGATTTCGGGAGAGGCCTTTTCTGTGTGTTACCTCCTTGATGTCACTACCCTGTATGCTAATACCCTACACCTACGTTTAGATACAGGTAGTACCCATTCCTGACAAAACCGTAGTTTGTAATGGTAAATGAATTTAAGAAAAAAAAAAAAAAGTCTTCATCTCCAGGACAAGCAAAAATCGTTTTCCTTAGTTGAAAATGATAAGGTAGTATTTTGAAAACAGCTATGCGTGATGCAGCCTCAAAGATAGATAGATATAGATATAGATATTTTTTTAAAGATCATATATATATATATTTTTTTTTTTTAAAGATCACTGTAAGTTAAATTATACAGTTAGGTCGGTAAGCATGTCAGTTGTTTTGCATTGTTCCAGGGTGACATTATAAAGATTGTGACTCTTCTAATGGATATGGATGTAAGAGCCTTCTAGAGTGCTTTTAAATATCAAAGAATAGCAGTAGATTTTGTGTCAAATGGTATTTTGAAAGATTCATTTTGTTTTGCTTTTCGGTTACTCAGAGGTTTTAGAAAATTGATAATCCAGTAATTATTAACTCAGAATTCAGATTAACATGATTCTCAACTAAGCTAACAATTTACCACATTCAGTTTCACAAACCTGCTTCATTCTCAAGTACTCGAAGCCTTTGGTGTTGGGTTTGTTTCCCCAATTTATGTAAATGTTTTCCTTGAAATCTGTTTATCCTCAAAATTTGACTAGAAAAAAATATATTACTCTCTCTGGTACTCAGGTAAGTCTCAGTGGAATCTGTACCTTAATTCTCACCAGTCTGATTTCTGGGGCATCTGAATTGATCATGTGTGTTGTATTTAATGTTACAGTTACCACTCTCCTTTGATCACCTAGTGAAGCCAGGCTTAGCATCTTGTAATTCATCACGTAATTTCCCATTTCTCTCTCCTGATGCTGTCGTGCTGGCTTTTTGCAAAGCAAAGGCAGATGTCAGTGACAGGAAAGAGTCTTAGTGGTTTGAGTCAGGATTTGCCACACCGGGGCGAGAGGCTGCAGCTTCCTACTAGGGAAGGCGGGGATGACTGGTTGGAGGTTGTGGGGGCAGATTTCAGCCTGAGGGAACAATCTGGCCTGCTGTCTCCTTGCAGTTCTCCCCAGCCTCCACCCCCCTATAGACCACGTTGGGGCCCTGGAACTGGAGCATCCTGAGCAGCTGTGGAATGTGGCAGTAGCTACAGATTGGCCTCTGAGTGGGAAGGAAAAAGGCAGGGGAGGGTGGTGACGTAGGATTTGAAAGTATTATGGAAACCTGTAAGGGTAGGATCGCGAAGTGAGGAAGCGCTGCTCTAGAATCACAGGAGTGCTCACAAACTCTCCGCAAGCTCTTTAAAGTGGTACCAGCTGCTCATTTCTGCCTTTGGAGTCTCACCTGGAGGGTCACAAAAGTTGTCATTTCGTCGCCTGAAGTCAGAAGTTACCTTTCCTAAGTGAACTTCAGAGCAAGAGTCAGCAGGCCTTTTTTGTGCAGGGCAAGACAGTAAATGCTTTAGGTTCTGCAGATCATATAGTCCATCACAAGCATTCACCTCTGCCCTTGCAGTGTAGGGAGCAGCCTTACACAGTAAGCAAAGGGCTGAGCAGATGCATGTATCAGTAGAAGTTTATTTGCAAAGAGCAGGTGGCAGGATGGATTGGGCCTGTGGGCTTTAGTTTGTCCCGGCCCGGCTTCAGACTGAGCTCCGAACATCTTTTTCCCCTCTTGGGAGCGGTGCTGCGAGCTCGATGGTCTCCACCATGCATACGTCGTTGTCACCCGCTAGCTCACGACACCTGTAGTTACATGGACTGTGGCTTCTTTCCAGCGGACGCCTGTGGTCTACTGCGTGAGGTTAGCCAGGGCCCTCGTGGATGACTACTGCTGTCTGGTGCCAGGATCCGTGCAGACGCTGAAGCAGATACTCAGTGCCAGCCCTCGATTCTGCTGCCAGCTCATCACCTCCGTCACCGCGCTGTATGACCTATCCTCAGGTAAACTCCAGACGGGCCGTTAAAGCAGCTCAGGCGACTGCCACTTTTATTTCCACTGAACACCCAGGCGAAATGCCCAGGGGTCGCTTTGGCCTTTTTTTTTCTTTCTCTGAAATGTGTGTTTTCTTTTAGGCTGAAAGTGAAAGGAAGGGACCACCTGGACTTCTGGAATTTGCCAGCAGGGGAGCTTTCCTTGGTGCCTCCCACTTGCCTCGCTCAGGGATGGTCCGAGTGGCAGGCAGCCTGAAAGTGCTGGCATCTGATGTCTGGGGAAGATGTGGTTTCTCCCCAGACGTGACTTGCTTTTTTCATCCCTCATTTTTTATTTTGGAAAATAGCAAAACTTCAGGAAGGTTTGAGACTGTTATAAGTTGGGAGACTCTCACCTAGATTCACCCCCTGTTAACACTTGCCATGTTCTCTGACTTTCTTCCTTTTCCCCTCTCACACACACACTCCAAAGTATTTGGTTTTCCTGAACTTTTGAGAGTTTGTTACCAGCATCATGTACCAAGTCCTTAAGCGTGTATCTCTCCCCCAAGAAAAAGCTTTCCTTTACATAGCCCATGGTACCATTATCACGCCTAAG